GCAGTGAGCAAGGTCACTTGGTTCAACCACCAAAATCTCTTTGCCAGATATTTTAGTGTTGAAATTCTATTGCTGCAAACCATGGAGTAGTTGAGGTATCAAATATCAGTGAATATTGGTACTGAATTTTCAAAGTGAACAAAATAGCCACATTTTCTTCAAGACCACCCCACCTCCAACTCTGGGCTGCTGGTCCAGGATGGGCCTAGGGAGGGAGCTGGAAAGTGAAGTGGGAGCTTCAGTATTCACAGGAGAAAAGACAGCACAGGAGCATCATTTGGGAAAAATACCCAAAAAAGAGCAGCCTTCAGCCTGAGCTGCAATCTGCACCCTGCTCCTCTGACAATAGCTAAGTTCAAGTGTCAAAAATCTAATAATAATAATAATTAATAAAAAAAAAACAGAGGTCTGCAACAAAGGCTCTTCTCTATCAGGAGACTAGCCAGTTTCAATCCAGAAAGGAGAAGCTGTATAGAGAATTTGGGGGGTTTGGAGCAGGAGGGTGTCATCCCAGGTAGAAAGGAGAGTTAATTCTGTTAGGGCCATGAGCTTGGAAAATCCAACCACCCCTCTGGCAAAACTGAGTTAATATTTTGTTTTTAAAAACACAGATGCAAAAACACCAAGTTGACCTTGGAATATTTGTCTAGCTAGACATACCCACATGTTTTTGTTAATAAATCATCGTCATCCCTCTGGTCAATCAGCCGGGTTCTCAGTTACCTCGTCCTGTGAATTTAAATTCCAAGAAGACCATTGTGTTGGTGGGGGGTGAGGGGAGCAGGCAAGAATAGTTCATCGGTTGTGCCAGCCACGACTTCCCCAGCGATTGGTAGCTCTCATTACCAGACTTGTCGGGTGTACAGATGCAGCTACCGCGGGCAGACTTGGAAATGGGTCGTTTTTAAAGCGTCCACTTGATGACCAACTTATCGGGCTTTCTTAACTCAAGACGCCACAATCTGAAATGGCCTGTGGTTTAAAGCTGCCCTCTACGCATCAGATGTGAAGCTTCTTACTTTCGGGTGAGAAATCACAGCTGTCTGAATTTATAATTGCTCCTTCAAGCCCATCTAAGACAACGAAGGGCTCGCTCCTCTCCTACAGATCAGATAAACCAGTTATCAAAGTGATACAAAGAATTGGGAGGAACCACCGGTACGCTCCAAAAAACTTCGCGAGACTTAAAAACAACTTATCCACTGCCAAAGCAACAAATTCTCATTTCCACCCAAAAGCTACCGTGCAAGAACCCTTTCCTTTGTGTATGGCACACAGTGATCATATAGCCCATGTACAGTGGTCACATAGCGCAGAGATCAGAGAGTGTACCCAGCACACAGTGGGCTGTGAGTATGCCAAACACTTCCATTTGTAAATGCGAACAGCAAATCTGAGCTGAGCTGCTACAGTATCAGACAGAGCACCTTCTCGTTCTCAAATGGACGCAAATGAAGAAATACCCACTTTGTATTTTGTGCATTTGACCCAGGTAATGTTCTTCATTCTCTCATTTGGCAAAAGCAATTTCACCATCCCCAACAATTAAAAGTCTGTAGCTTTGCCCAGCTCTCTGGATCTTAATTCATACACAGCTTGATTATTTCCACCTCCAAATCATTATAGAATATGCTAACTCGCTCTCTATAATAATGTCAGTTCTGAAATTAACTTGTTGCTTTACCCAGAATTATTATTTTTGGTTTCCTTTACTTAAGATAACCTAAGACTGTAGATATCAAGAGAAGCACACTCTTTTTTTTTTTTACTTCAGGGTTGTTTTTTTTTAAGTAACTTTGCAAATAAGGAACGTACGTACGTAGCAGCCAAGACAGTAACAATCCCAGATCTCATGAAAAGTGATACCAAAAATGATGCTCTATATATGTACTTAACTATTGCTTTGCAAATTGCCTGCCTAAATTGAAAAGTTCCTCTTCTTTTTCATAATTTTTAAATGCATTTAGCAGCTCGGGGCATGCAGACTAACCTAGAGCTTTGAGGCACTGGTCCAGTGCATGTGGACCTCCCCCAGAAGTCTTTTGTCCGAAACATCCAGAGAGCTGAAGAAAAAGTGATGTTTGGACTCAAATTACACAGTTTCTTCCATTTTCCACTTTGTTTCATTAGCACAAACCTGACAGTTACATTTCCCGACTCTGGATGTGAGAGCTCGTGGACAAAAATCACGGAGTGAGAATGGTTTTCAAAGTCTCCTTTGCTTATGTTACTCTAATAATCTTTCCACCCTCCTAGATGAAATACCATTTAAATGCAAACCTTGTCTTTTTCAAGTTAGTTTCAAAGAAAAACTTCTGGCTGGCTTGGAGTCGAGTTGGAAAGAATAAGGTGTCTTTCCCCCTCCTCCAGAGGACTAGTGGAGCCTCCAGCCCTGGGCCCTTCCCAGCAGGCGCTGTGACACACTCACAGGTGCAGGGAGCTGCTGATCCACGAAGTCGGTTTCTCCCTCCCAGCCTCTCCCGGCTTCTCTTAGTCAGGCTCTCTAAATCTCCTTGGGAAAATTGTGAGTGACAAACTGACTAATTCCTCAGAACCAGGAAGGATTTGCCCTTCACTATTTTAGGAAGCTTTCCACATAGCTTTTCATCCTTCACCACAATCAAGTTCAGCCTTCCTTGGCAGCATCCAAAAATCTCTGAGGCGGAAACCCAGTGCTCTCTCAAAACTTTTCTTCAACCGTGTTAAGTCACATTGTGCTAAAAAGTTTCCAGCCCACAGTTACCTCTACACCATGGCCAGTTTGTATTTCCTTTTCCCTAACAAGCCTTTCATGGATAAGTCCAAAATCCTTCTACAGCCAGAGCAGGTACCAAGAATGAAAGGAACCACTAAATATCAAATGGAGTAAAAGAGAGGTCCAAGATGCTGGGCTAAATGTGCAGGAGCATGAGTGTTACTGAGAAGTCAAAGCATGCATCGAATTGAAAAGCATTCACTATTTAACAGATAATACGTTTAGGGCGGATTTTGTCTTCTTGACTGTTTCCAAAACAACAAACACCACCTGCAAGGTAGCTTCTGAAGTAGCCAACTACATAACCTTAATGATTTTTTTGAAAGCGTTTTTGCTTTCACAGCCCAACTCTGTTTTCCAGACTTCTATACACTGCACGGAAAGAAATGGAGGAACACTTTTGGGGACTGTTTTTCTTTCAGGGCCATTTCACAGAAGGGGCTGGGTGGGAGATGGGGAGGGCATTGTCCTCCTATTTTAAGGCCCTGTGTTCTGCAATGAATTCACTCCTCTAGCTGAATATGCATAGAAAGGTAGGGGCATTTGTTCCTTTGGCAAGTTTGGGAGAGCAGATTTGCTTTTGAAACAGCTACATTTTACTCAGTACCTGCTAAGACGAGTCAGTGCGCCCCCTGCTGACAAGTCAAGAGTGCGACTCCCGGGCACTTCCAAAGTTTATTTTGTTCAGTAAACCGTGTCATATAAAATTAACAACAACCAATAAAATTAGCTTATATGTTTCAACTGTAAAAGTCCAAAACAAAATAAAGCTAGTTTTGGGGGCGCTAGAAATCTCTAGCTTGGCTTCTTCTCTTTGGCTGAACCAAGGTCCTTTTATCTAAAGCCCAGTGCACAAACATATAGCTTAATGTGACTAGTGTTCTTCCTTTTCTTTCTTTCTCTATGGCAACCAATATGCTCTGCTCAGAAATGTTCCCCATCAAGGAAACAAATGATCTTCAGGGAGCGGCTCTATATGGCATCTGGTCCAATGGAGCACAGAGAGTTAACCTCAGTCAAAAGCGACGCTGCCAAGCAGGCAAACAAGGAGTGGAAAACCGGCGATTCTTACCACCCACCCCCTCCCCGACCAAAACCTCTTCCTCCCTCCTGACAAGCCATTTCATTGATTTGGCATCAACTGTTTCCAAAGAAATTACAAATTTTAAATTGCAAGGTGTTCTGGATACAAAAGGGCAATCATATCCCAGCCATTTGATTCTACCCCTCAGCGCCCCAGACGCGACTTCCTTTGAAAAGAACAAAACCAAGAACCTTTGAGAATCCTCTCCAGCCCCGTTGCACGAAAGTAAGGTGCTCACACGGGCTTGGACGTGGCCTAGCTATTTCCTCCAGCCATATTCCTCCAGTTAACTTCCCCTAGCAAGCAACTGCACCCTTAATTTGTACAAAACCCAGGGACGGTGGCAAGGAAGGGTGGGGGTTGGGGGGGCAGGGCGGCTGTCAAAAATAGGAAACAAAGTAAAGCAGTTTGCGATGCTAAAGCCCCAGCCTCCTTTGGGAATAAAGTGTAGGATGTCCTGGTTAGTTTTGATTGATCACCCTCTTTCTGACGGACTTTCCCTATCGAGCTGGGAGGCTGCAGCCAACCGCCTGCTCCCCAGACACCGCATTAACCAGGGGTGCTCCGACTTCCTGCCTCTTCCTCCTCCCCTCCTTCCTTCTTCTCCCGCTCTCTGCCCTCCCTTTGCCAAGCCCCCTCCCTCCCTCCCTCCCTCCATCCCCCTGCTCCCAGCAGGAATCCCCCACCCCAACTCCAGGCAGGCACACACAGTTCACATCAGCCCTGGCTACAGAAAGGGAGTTTCTTTCCTTCTAGCCCTGATTCTCCAGAAAAAGAAAGAAAGAAATCCAAAAGCAAGAAATATTTATAACAGTGCTTCATAATCACTTCTTTTCTAGGGCTTTTATATTTCCCTGACCATCAACAATTAATATTAATAGCACTGTCTTCACCCCTCCACCCAACCCCGCCAAAAAAATAAGTGCCTTGCTGTGGAGAGCTTTGGAATGAGTCCATCTTTTTATGTAATATTTTAGCAGGGCTGGGTTTTTTTACTCTCTCCCCAACGCTATTTCCCTTCCTTCCTTCAAAACAGTTGCTCTGTGAATCCTCTCTTGTCCCAAGCCAGGAAAATAAGCTCCCAAACCTACAAGAGCATAAATAAACCAGAAAGGAGGGGGAGAAAAGAGAAAGCAGGGAAAGAAAATGTAAAACACTTACCGAGCAAACTTCCAGGGTTATACTTTAAAATAAATGATGTTTTATTGTTTTTTTAAATAAGATGACTGAGGGGGAAGGCATGGTCTCAACTCCCCAGAACCAGAACGCGGCCGCCTTAGTCTTCCCCTTACACTGACTCCTCGAAGCCTAGCTCTCCGCTGGTCTATTATTTTCACCAAAATATATGAAAATGTATGCAAATGAAAATCAGCACTAACTGTTCTCCCCTTGTTATATACTTTGGATTTTTTTTTCCAGACAAAACAATCACAGTCGGCAAAGGGAGGGGGCGGATGGGTGGGGCTGGGGAGCGAGTGCAGAACTAAGTACGCGGAGGGGGAGGACGAAGGGGACAGACCTCGGAACAGAAGGATATTTCTGATTTCGAGGAGCACGGCGTTTTGGGGGGCTTCCCGGACGCGCACACACCCTCCCTGAAAAGAAAGAAAGAAAGTGAATGTGTCTACAGAGGCGCTGTATCACGTTTCACCAGGCCACCTGAGGCTGTTTTTGAAAGCGTGTACTGTGAAATTCATAGCAGTAATTTAGACAAAATCCTCACTGTATATTAATGAAAGGGCCCCATGGCTCTGTTCCTATCCTCCCCATTCAGTGTAAACAAAACCACGAGACTCTCCCGGTTTTTGAGCCGGATCCAAGCAAAGTCGGCAGGAAAGGAAAACACGGGGTGCTGGCACCGACGACTCAAACGTCTGCACCTGGAGATCTCGGATTTATTCAATGAAATCTGTGTTCCATCTTTCATCTATACATATACGCATACATAAATATAAAAAGGAACCTTGGAAGGGGGACGCAGAGGGAAAAACCAGTTCTAGCTGGCGTTTGGTTGCCGCTGCCCTTCGGGTCTGTATCTTAGCAGTAATGGCTTGGCCAAAACCTACCCAACCAGGGCATCTCTCAGCCCGCACGCCGGAGCTGCCCCGGATCCTACATGAACGCTACGCGTCTGCCGCTAACCTGGAGATCTCGCCAGGGCTGCACACAGCGGCTGGGCTGCAGAGCTCCGGCTCTGACCGAGTGCCCCTAGTTGCGCTCGGCAGAGGAACATTCGCGGGAGAAGGGCGGCCCCGAGCACCCCGGCGGCTCCGCGTCTGCGTCC